AAAAAAAAAACAGAAAGAGAGGGGGGTGGTGGTGGGGGGGTGGGGGGGGGGGGGGGGGGGGGGGGGGGGGGAGTGTCACCTTTTCTCCTGTGAGGTTCGGAGTTGAAGAACAGAACCAAGTTCATAAGTGACAAACCATGAAAAGATGGTTTGAGTTTCTACAAAGAATATTTGACACACATCAGAGCAGCTGAAGTGCTGAACAAATAAGGCAGGGACAGTTCTGTTATTTTTCCCAAAACAGATTTCCTCCCAGCTGGCGATCCTCCCGGCAGATTCCAGTTGCTGGCTCCGGTTTGTCTGTGATTTACTGCCTGTTTAATCAGGTTGTTTTCTTTTCTTTTTTTTTCCAGGTCGCACTCAGCAGTCTGACCATAAATCAGCAGGTTTGTGTTTCTGTTGGTTTAGTGGCTGGTGAAACATCTGTGCTGCTCTACTGCTCACCCTGCACTTTTCATCTGTCAATTATTTCTCCTGCCTACTGTCATCGTCTTTGAAGGTAGTCATTATAACAGAGTAATAGTGAACTATCAAATATCATGTCTCAGCATGTGGTCTGGAGACATGATCCCTTCAAAACTCATAGATTGTGATTTTGTCTTTATAATTGTAAGCTGCTGGCTCTTAATTTTACTATTTAAGGCCAGGTTTAACACTTGAATTGCTGTCGTTCCAAATTTACATATCATACCAGTCACACTGTGGAAAGTAAAAAGGATTGCAGCCCATCACTCTTATTAGGATAATCCTGCTTTAAAACTACGATTAGTATATCCGTGAAGCATTAAACTGCAGGCTGGAAACCAGAGCTGATAGCCCAGCTAATTAAGCAGATAATATCAGCCTGTTATATTCGAGGGACAAAAGCATGGCAAAAAAAACTATCTCTATGTATCAAAACAACATAAGAATAAAAACATACTATTACCTGTAAAAATAATGTTATTTTATGTTTTCAGCAGTAGAAAAAGCACAAAACCAAAGGCCTGGTTGAACTGACTGACGGGTTCTTAACTATTTTTAAAAGGATTGAATGATTCATCCAAACCCATCGGGGAGGAAAGTTGTTCCACAGCCTGCAGGCCACAACCTGAAGAGAATGAGCTCCTTTACTCATACGCCTTGTAGGTGTATAAATTGTGATAACAGCGCAGATAGTCCATACAGAAAAATTAATCATCAAATTATTGATTTAATCCAAAGTTTCCTGTTTTAGTGATTACAGTGAAGTATTTTTTGTATGTTTTTGACCACTTAGTGCCCTTGCTACCAAACAAATGTACCGTTACTCTCCGAGTCCGACAACTCAGCATAAAACTAGCAACTACACATTTCTCAAGCTCACTTTAGAAATGGTTTATTAGCTTTGGGGAAGCATGCTAAGAACCGTGAGTGATGCTATTCGTTTTGTTATTTTGTTTCATGCTGTCCATTAACCAAGATAAAAAAAAATCAAGCACATGCATTTGTTGACATCACATGAGGTATAAGTTGCCTCCATTTCTCTTTGTTTGCATGTTTTCATTCAAATCAATACTTCAAAATGCGTTTACCCGTGCTAGCTTTTCAGCTTGGTTTATGTGCCTTTTGATATGTCACAGACCCAAATACACACAAATAAGTAAAAGCTGCTTTTTCTTCAGTGCGCTTTTGAGGAAACTTAGCATTTACGGAAATCCTGAAGGGGAAAGCTATGCTTAACTACCAAGCTGTGTTTTTATTATCTTTGTACATTTGTAAGTGAAAGAAAATTTTCACTAGTTTCTTTAACTATTTGAATACTGGCCCCAATGTGGCCCTATATATTTATTTCAACCCCCCGTTTTTTTGTTTTTTTGTTGTTGTTTTTTAGACTATTAGGGTTAATTTTGGTGTTACTGCAGCACTCAGGCTATCCTGTTGCAGCAGGGCTTCACCTTGGTCTGCGTTCCTGCAGTCTCCCTGCAGCATGGCTCGGCCCAACACGTCTCGGCTCGGCTCGTTTCAGCCCGACCCAGCGACACAATGACCTACATTCTGCAGCCACATACTGCGGTGGCTGCGGGTGTAAACCTCCATCATCACGGCGCCCACCCGCCCACCACCGACAACTTCAACAATGAGTATCGATCCGGTGGCTTTTCTTACCTTTTGGTCAAATCCGCAGCATTTTCCACTGTCCCCAATTTTCTCCTCCCAGTCCTCCTCCTCCTTTTTCTTGTCTTCTTTTTGCCCTTCACTCCTGTCGCTCTCCTTCTTCTTCTTCTTCTTCTTCCAGAGTCTCACTAACCAGCAGAAACGACTCGCGTTTTATATATATAAAAAATGTACTGAAATCCTTAGTTTGCTCCCTCCTCTCCTTCTACAACAGTAAAGCCACACACAAACCAGGAGGTGGAGCCCGTCGCACTGCGCAGACTCAGTAAAGTCAAATCAAAAATTCCAACTTCCGGTGTTACGTCGAATTCTGGACCCGTTGTGTTTTCAGTAATATGACTCAAGGAGGCGCTGTTCCTTCATACATCTGCTGTCCCTTATGTCCCTAAAATCTGGTTAGGGTTAAACTGGCTCCATGAAGAGTAAATCATTTTCACTAAACTCAGATTTATAAATAATTTTTTATTGGTCATATGTAACATTCAAACTTTCAGAAAAGTTTCAGAAAATTTAAAGTTTTATTCAGCCATGATGATCATCAATAAGCAGAAATAAATTAGCAGACATAAATGTACAGTGTGTGTGTAAGTTTCACTGTTTGAATGAATTTGTGAAATAAATAGATTTTAAAAAATTCTAACTTACTCAGTTGACACTGAATGTTATTCATGATCAAACATTTAGCGACACAAGTTGGTGCTTATGACTTTCAGGCCAGCAGGGGGCTCCAAAGAGCATATTTCTCACAGATATTAAAAATCTCAAAACATCTGATTTATATATTTACATTCATTATTCCCATCTTTTTTTTATTTAATTACTCAGAAGAAATCACCTTGTTCATTAAGAAATATTTGACGCTATCGTGATAACTTTGGCATCGTGATAACTTTGGCATTTGAATAGATTCAACTAAAGACACAGGAATAAAAATGAATTCAAATTTCTGCTCATCTGTCACATACAATCACCACTCAAATACACCGCTGTTTGTTGTTGCCATATGGAAAGTTTAGAAAAAGTTCAAGTGGTGTGAATACTTTTTCAACACACTGTACACTTTGTAAGATGATGTAATAGACAGGAAAATGACGCCCATATCGTCATGATAACATGCAAAAGAAATATGATGCAAGTTTATTGAACAGCGAAAATACCATATTCTTTATTTGTGCATATGTCAGGTTTGTGAATATTAAACCTGATATATGCACAACTGAATATTTGTCTTCATTGAACAATTAAAACCCTGAATGCTAAATGTTTACCTGTTGTTCAAGTTCATGTTGTTCAAGTTCACGTGCAGTGCAAGAAAAAAAAGACAAAATTGCTGCCAATACACCAGTAATTTCCAAAACAATTTTATAATTTAACTAACTGAATTTTCAGAAATTACTTATGTCTGAAAACCATCATAGGATTTCTTCATAGTGTTCTTTCATTTTCAGTTCTACTACTGTATATATTATGCTCCTCATCTCAGTTCCAGCCTTTCAGTCCTTCAGTAAAACAAAGTTATTTGCTGCAGCAGACTGCGGTGTGCTTCCATGTCTCTCACTCTTAAGTCAATTTGAGTTTAGGTTGTGTCTGAGTCCCACAACACTCTGTTCTTCCTGAATGGAAGTCTTGTTGATGCATGGGTTCAGTCTCCTTCACTTACCAAGGAGCATTTCTGAAATAAAAAAAACCATGCAGCTTGGTACTAGTAGATATGATATCAGCGGTTGCTTTATAAACAAGTTGTGCAGATGATCTCCATTGATGGAGTCTGCTCCTTAGTGATTATTTCTTCTTCCTTCAAAGCAGTTTTGGAGGCCCAGGGACATGTAAACCTGTAAATAAGATGAGCAGAAATGCATCAGTATCTGCATTAAGTGATCATGTTTCTGATCACTTAATGAGATAACATGCCATTTTTTGTGCAACATTTTTGAGAAGTATTTATGTTTCTCCATCTCACAATTGTACCCAACTTGGTGTTAGCCTGTCATAGAAAATCCCCCCAAAATATCCTCAAGCATGGCACAAGCTCACCACTGTGTGACCGGCATCTGCTCAATGGTATCAGGAAGTGGCTGTTGGAACGTTTCTGGCAGGAAGATGCAGAGAAGAACAGCGAGAAGTGACAGAACACCCAAAGTAATCCAGGGTAGGAGCTTGTTAAACTCAGCTGGAGACATAAACCAAATCAAATCAAATCTCATTTGAATAGAGTTAAACATCGGACTCAGTTTCTAATTGATGTATTTAGATCCCTTATAGCCTGTAGAGATTTAAAGGTCTCACCCAACTCAAGCAAATATGGTGACACAGAGGATCCCACTCTGGAGAACATGGCACAGGAAGACATTGCCGTATTTCTGATGACCGTGGGGGACAGCTCTCCAGTGTAGGTGTACACCACCCCACTTCCTGCCAGAACACCAAATTTACCCAACAGCACCAGGGACATGGTAAGAGTTGGGTAACCTGCAACAAAGGACAAGGTGCTGTAAGGCCACAAGTAATAAAAATACTTTTGTAAATCCTGCTAAGCAAAACTTTAAACTCGTTTCAACAAGTTTCTCTTCAGCAGTGGAGTCTTGTGCAGTAAGTAGGCATAAAGGTCATAGTGGCTGAATATTTTACATATTGTTTTCTTCAAAACAATTGTACCTGCTCATTCCAGGTCTTTCTGAAGCTTTTAATAGTCATTGACTCTCGGACTATTCACTTGTTCTTCATGCTCTGTCTGACGCTTTGTAGGGAACACAGCGTCTTGGCTGTTTTATACTGCAGTGACGTTCTTTCACATTTCAGATTTTGGGAGCTCGTCTTATATTTTTGAAAGAAGAAACTATTTGATTATCCCTAAGACTGTTAAGAAATACTAAGTTTACCAATCAGATGAAATTGGACCTTTTTTTTTGGAAGGTGTGCATTTTTCTACAACTGCCACAAAACTGAATATCATGCTTTCGGTCAAACACAATGTTTTTAGTGTGATGCTGATGGGACCTGGACAATTTGTTGCAACTGAAGGAGCCACAAATTCTTGTCTCTGGCAGAACATGTTGTAGGAGAATGTATTGCTATGAACAAGTGCAAGTTGATTGTCCAACATACAAGAAATCAAAACAAAGGTTTTGCTGTGATCTAATCAATGGTTGAATGAAAGTCTGCAAAGAACAGTGGGACAAAATTCCTGCAAAGTGATGTAAAAAACTTATTGTCAGTTGCTGCTGCCAAGAATGACACAACCAATCATTAGGTTCAGGAGACAATTGCTTTTTTTTACACAGAGCCAGGTTTGTTTGGATATCTTTGTCTTGTAAGTGATGGGAGACAAACTACACTTTGTTCTTACTAAAGTAAATTTTGTCTGATACAATGTTTGAGGATGATCTGAAACATTCAAGTGTGACAAAATAGCAGAAACAGAGGAATTCTGTAAGGAGGTAAATACTTCTTCACTGCACTGGATTATTGCATTAATCTTTCATTATTTTGAAGAAGCCAGTGTGGCATTATTAATGGAGCTTGAATAAGATGTTGAAGCTAAGAAACACACACTAAATACAAAAAAAGGTAGGTTTGTTTTCTTGTTTACGACGTTTATTGTTCTCGTGTGTTTCTGTAAAAGTCAGAGAGCACAGCCTAACGCTTCTCACGCTCACTTTTCATGGTGCCTTGGATGAAGAGCAGCGCCAGCGCCCCCAGCAGGGAGAAACCGATGAACGAAAGACGGCGAGGAGAGCTGCGTGCAGCCAGCCAGCTGGCAAAGTATGCTGGGAGCTCCACAGCTGTGAGCAGGAAGTAGTTCAGGAAGAGGTTGCCATACAAAGTGGACATGCTGAAGGACAAGCCAAAGTAGCTGACACTCGTGGAAAACCTGCAAAGAAAGAAATGGACTCAAAATCCAAACCGGATTTATTTTAATTGATTTAAAAATTCTAAGTGACCAACCAGAACCCAGTCGATTTGTAACTGAAAATGTTTTTTTTTTACTGGATCAAAATTAGACTTTTAAATGTGGCGCAACTATAGCAGTTTGTAAAGTTGTTTTCAATCTTCTCAATAGAAAAAGCTTTGATTTGACAAATGTTACCTGCTTGGCTGATGTGCAATTTTAAACAAAGTGGTTTTCCACACACACACACACACACACACACACACACACACACACACACAATGTTGCAGCTCACCAAATTAGCCACAGCTTCAGCGTTATATGCCGAATTTTTGCGGTCTTCAGTAGGTCCAGGAAGCTGACGGACTCCGCTTGATGTGCCTCTGCTTTTTCAGCCTGCCGAGAGAACGTGAGAAACATTAATACACCTCCTACGATTTGCCAGTGAGGTTCAGCTGGTGGTTCCCACCTTGGGAGGGAGGAAAATGACTGGAGGAGCCTCCACTCGGTTCTCCAGAGCCGCTGACCTAAGCAGGAGCTCGGCCTCTTGCAAGCGGCCACGAGACAGCAGCCAGCGAGGAGACTCCGGAACCAGCCTGGTCGACATTTAGACACGCCATCAGGGACTCAGTTCCCGAAAGCTCCCAAAAAGAATCCCTTCCTTGGAGGAGATTATGCTTCCTTATCAATCGGTCACTACAGTATTGTATCCCTTTTCTGTAAGTCTTTGGTGTAAAGATGCGGACTGAGAAATGTCAACAGTGTAGTGAGACCATCTTACCACCAGAGGGGGATGCAAGCCAAGCCAGGCACAGCCATGATGAGCGACAGGTGTCTCCAGCTCCTGACCAGGTATGCGGTTCCTGGCAGCACCATCATGGAGAAACTGTAGACAAAAGGCTGGCCCAGACTGGAGAAGAGGATTCTGCTGGAGCCCACAAGGATTTCTGAACCTGTGATTGTGACACATTTTATTGTGTCTGATATTAGCATAAATTATAAGTTCTGACCATTTCTAACGGAGTGCATTATATATGCTAATAAATGATAACAAAGAAGTTAACACAGATTTAATCTGAAATGTGATCATTTAAAGGGAACCTATTATGCAAAATTCACTTTTGACATGTTTTTATTTTGGGTCTCAACTGCTTCTAAAAATAGCCACCCAGCTTTCTTTATTTTCTTTTTTTTTTTTTTTTTTTTTTTTTGTAAAAAGATAAATTTTTTTTGGTTTGGGAAA